GGAACATAGAAGACAAAAATATCATAGAAAACAGCAGCAAAACAAAAAGTTGATTCTTTGAAAGAACAAGCTTGATAGACCCTTAGCCAGAATGACAAAATGAGAGAAAAGACCCAAATAAACACAATCAAAAATATAAACGCTCAAATCACAACTGACTCTGAAGAAATACAAAATATTATCAGAGATTACTATGTACACCTGTATGAAAACAAACTTGATAACCTAAATGAAATGGAGGACTTTCTGACATTACACAACCTCCCCAGGTTGAAACAAGAAGACATTTACAAACTAAATAGACCAATAACAACCCAGGAAATTGACTCTGTCATAAGAAAACTACCTACAAAAACAAAGCCCTGGACCCAATGGCTTTCTACAAAACGTTGTTTCTACAAAATGTATAAGGAGGAACTGATACCAGTCCTATTGAAAGTATTCCAGACACGATGGAATTCTCCCCAAATCATTCTATGATGCTAGCATCACACTGATACCCAAGCTGGGTACAGATTCAAAAAAAAAAGGGAAAACTATAGGCTAATGTCCCTTATGAACATAGATGTAAAATTCTACCAAATCAGATCCAAAAGCACATTTCAAGAAGCATCCATCATAACCAACTAGGCTTCCTCCCCAGGATGCAGGGCTGGTTCAACATCCGCAAGACCATAAATGTAATAAAATACATCAACAGATGTAAAAACAAGAACCCACATGATTATATCATTAGATACGAAAAAAACTTTTGATAAAATCCAGCAACACTTCTTGATAAAAACCCTCAAACACCTAGGTATAGATGGGACATACCTTCAGATTGTAAGCACCATCTAAGATAAACCCACAGCTAGCATATTGGAAACTGGAAACATTTCCCCTGAAAACTGGAACAAGACAAGGCTGTCCACTCTCACCCCTCTTGGTCAACATTGTATTTGAAGTCTTAGCTAGAGTAATTAGATAAAAGAAGAAAATCAGGGATATCTAAATAGGAAAAGAGGAGGTTAAGTTATCCCTCAGCTGATGATATGATCCTATACCTCGAAAATCCAAGAGACTCGGCCAAAAACCTGGTTGTACTGATGAAGGACTTTGGTAAAGCCTCGGGGTATAAAAGACAGTTGCTTTCTTATATACCAACAACAAGCAGGTGATGAACCAAATAAAAATCACAGTACCGGCCGGGCTCGGTGGCTCAGCCTGTAATCCCAGCACTTTGGGAGGCCGAGGTGAGTGGATGAGCCTGTGGGTTCAAGATCCGCCTGGGCAATTTGGCGAGACCTCATCTCTACAACAAATCAAAAATTAGCCGGGCATGGTAGTGTGCGCCTGTAGTTCCAGCTACTTGGAAGGCTGAGGCGGAAGGATCGCCGGAGCCCAGCAGGTCGAGGCTGTGGTGGCCGGAGCGGCCACTGCACTCCTGTCTGGGCGACGGAGTGAGACTCCAACTCAAAAAAAAAAAAGCACAGTACCATTCACAATAGCCACAAAAAAATGAAATACCTCTCTGGTTCTTCCCAACCAGAGAAGTAAAAGACCTTTACTATGAGAATTACAAAACACTGCTCAAAGTAATCCAAGAAAACACAAACGAATGGAAAAGTATTCCACGTTTACGGATAGGAAGAATCAACATTAAGATGTACATCCTGGCCAGGCTCGGTGGCTCAGCCTGTAGTCCCGTGCTTTGGGAGGCCGAGGTGAGTGAATTGCCTGAACCCGCGGGTTCGAGACCTGCCTGGGCAACTTGGCGAGACCTCATCTCTACAATAAATTTTAAAAAATTAGGGCATGGTGGCACATGCCTGTAGTTCCAGCTACTTGGAAGGCTGAGGCAGAAGGATCACTGGAGCCCAGCAGGTCGAGGCTGCCGTGTCCGGGAGGGTGCTACTGCCCTCCAGCCTGGGTGACAGAGTGAGACTCCAACTCAAAAAAAAGAAAAAAAAAAAAGATGTACATCCTACCAAAGGCAATCTACAGATTCAATACAATACCCATTAAATTACCAACATCATTCTTCTCAGACCTGGAAATGACAATACAGAAATTCATATTGGCTGGGCTTGGTGGCTCAGCCTGTAATCCCAGCACTTTGGGAAGCCGAAGCGAGTGGATTGCGTGAGCCCGCAGGTTCAAAACCAGCCCAGGCAACTTGGTGAGACCGTGTCTTTACAAAAATGAATTTAATTTAATTAATTAACTTATTTATTTGAGTTGGAGTTTCATTCTGTTGCCCAGACTGGAGTGCGGTAGCATATTCCCGGCCACCACAACCTCAACCTGCTGGGCTCTGACGATCCTTCCGCCTCAGCCTTCCAAGTAGCTGGAACTATAGGCATGCGCTACCATGCCCGGCTGATTTTTGATTTACTGTAGAGATGATGTTGTTCAGGTGGGTCTCAAACCCGTGGGCTAAGGCAGTCCACTTGTAGAGACCTCGTCTCTACAATAAACCAAAAAATTAGCTGGGCATGGTAGCGTGCTCCTGTAGTTCCGGCTACTTGGAAGGCTGAGGCAGAAGGATCGCCAGATCCCAGCAGGTCAACACTGGGGTGGCTGTGAGTGTGCCACTGCACTCCAGCCTGGGCAATGGAGTGAGACACCAATTAAAAAAAAAAAAAAGTAGCCCAGCTCGGTGGCTCAGCCTGTATTCCCGGCACCTTGGGAGGCTAAGGTGAGTGGATTACCTGAGCCTGAGGGTTTGAGACCCACCTGGGCAACTCGGCGAGACTTCATCTCTACAATAAATTAAAAATTAGCCGGGCGTGGTAGTGCACGCCTGTAGTTCCAGCTACTTGGAAGGCTGAGGTGGAAGGATCACTGGACCCCAGCAGGTCGAGGCTGCAGTGACCGGGAGCAGCCACTGACTCCAATCTGGGTGACAGAGTGAGACTCCACATCAAACAAAACAAAAAATAAAAAAATAAACACCAGGTGCTGGTGAGGATATGGAAGACTTCTATACTACTGGTGGGAATGCAAACTAGTGCAACCTCTTTGGAAGACAGTGTGGTGATTTATGAAAAAACTAGGAATTGACCTTCCATATGACCCAGCAATCCCCCTATTGGGAATATACCTGGAGAAACTCAAGTCATTCTACCAAAAAGATACCTGCACACGCATGCTTGTTGCAGCTCTATTCACCATAGCAAAAACATGGTACTAACCATGCTGCCCATCGAAGCTGGACTGGGTAAAAAAATGTGGTACATGTACACAGTAGAATATTATGCAGTCATAAAGGACAAACATATGGACTTCACATCACCTTGGGTGGATTTAGAGTCTATCATACTCAGTGATCTATCACAGAAACAGAACAGAGTACCATATGTTCTCACTCATAAGCAGACATTGAACAATTATCATAATATTATAAAAAAGGGATTGGCAGAAGTAGAAAACTGCCAGGGGAGGAGAGGTAGGATTGACAGTTGAGGGAAACTGCCCCAGAAGGGAGGAGCACACCTCATCAACAAAGGTACCTGCATAATGAACATTTGTATACCTAATCCTGAGTTGTACCCCACATCTTTAAAATAAAATAAACCAGACACGTGCGGTGGCTCACGCCTGTAATCCCAGCACTTTGAGAGGCAAAGGTGAGAGGATTAGCTGAGCTCAGGGGTTTAAGACCAGTCTGAGCAACATGGCAAGACCTTGTCTCTACATTAAATAAAAAAATCAGCCGGGCATGGTGGAAGGCTAAGGCAGAAGGATCACCTGAGCCCAGTAGGTCGAGGCTACAGTGGCCGTGAGTGTGCCACTGCACTCCAGTCTGGGCGACAGAGTGAGACTCCAACTCAAAAAAAAAGCAATCATTTAGCCGGGCTCGGTGACTCAACCTGTAATCCCAGCTCTTTGGGAGGCTGAGGTGGACAGATTGCCTGAGCCTGCGGGTTTGAGACCTGCCTGGGCAACTTGGCGAGACCTCATCTCTACAATAAATAAAAAATGAGCCGGGTGTGGTAGCGCACGCTTGTAGTTCCAGCTACCTGGAAGGCTGAGGCGGAAGGATCGCCGGAGCCCAGCAGGTCGAGGCTGCGGTGGCCGGAGTGGCTACTGCACTCCTGTCTGGGCAACGGAGTGAGACTCCAACTAAAAAAATAATAAAAATAAAAGGAGTTAACATAATGTGCTTTGGTGTTAAAGTGCTGGGTCCCATAGTGTTTTTTCTGTTCACCCAGGTAAGTAACTTAACCTCTCTGAACCTCAAAGTCTTCACCTGTAAAATGGAAATAATGATAATACAACCTCCAGAGGATAGTTGGAGGTATATAAAATTGTGCCTGTAAAGCCCTGTGCCTGAATCCTGATACAAGGTAGATCACCATGAGAAATGCTGCCTCTACTGCTGTCAATCCTGCTGCATTTTACATCTTTAGACCATTGCCTTACTAAACTCTGGTGTGGCCATGTGCTGTTTAAGCTGTGGCTGCCACCATGTTTTCTAAGCTTTGGTCCCTTCTCCTATCTTGGAGAGGTGAATCTCCTCTCTCTTCTCACTTTTTTTCAGATTAGAAAATATAGTTTATTTAGAAACTAAGAAAGAGAGAGGACATTCACTTCCCCAAGGTAGGGAAGGGGGCCAAAGCTTAAGAAAACATTGCCTAGTCATAGCTCAAAGAGTACATGGCAACATGTGCCATGGTGTGGTAGCACGTGCCTGTATTTCCAGCTACTTGGAAGATTGAGGCGAGAGGATTGCCAGAGCCCAGCAGGTCAACTCTGGCATGGCTGTGAGCGTGCCACAGCCTAGCAAGGCAATGTCCTAATTTGTTTTCTAAATAAACTATATTTTCTAATCTAAAAACAACAAAAAAGAAACAATCTTGAGAGATTTAATAAACCTCTTCCTGACCTTATGGTTTTAAGGGAAATGAGGTGACAGGGGGCCCAGGTCTTTGCAACCTAGGTCTTGGCTGTTTGGATGGGTCTCGTGTGTGGGATGAATGGTGTTTTCACCTTTCTGTTTCCCTTCTCTGTGGCAGACAGACTTCCGATTCTACTGGATGCATTCAAAGTTACCAGAAGAAGAAGGGCTGGCAGAGAAGACCAAGCTCAACCCTGTGAGCCTGGGATTAGGATCAGAGTTCTCAGGGGAGATTGAATGAGTCTATCTAAACATAATCATTCAGGATGAAATGATATATTTTGGAGCAGCATGGTCTAATGAGTATACCACAGTTTAGTGACGAGAGTATGAGCTTAGCAGTCACCCAGCTCTGAATTCCATGTGGGGCTTTAATTACTACTAGGCTAAGTTAATGACCTCACTTGGCCTTAGTTTTTTAATCTGTAAAATATAGGATTAATAATATCTAACTTACGGAGTTGTTATAAGCACCAAATGATCTAAATATGCAACACTTCTTAACATAACACTTATGGTAGGCAGTCAGTAAATAATGGTTGATATAAATGAAACTAATTACTTTGATTCATAATGCTATTTAGAATCCTAGTCCATTGGTTTTCAGACTTTAGCATACACCAGCAGCACCCAGAGGATTGATACAGCATAGACTCCTGGGCTTCCCCTCAGCGTTCAGTAGGTTTAGAGGAGGACTTAAGAATCTGCATTTCCAACAAGTTCCCCAGTGGTGCTGCTGGTGTGAGAACCACACTTTGAGAACCCTGGCTCTAGCATCTGAGCAGGGATTACCCTCATCTGGTCAGTCCCTTCATTTTATAAGCCCAGAGAGGAGCCTGCCTTCCTGCCCTGCAGACTCAGGCAATCCTCCCACCTTAGCCTTCCAAAATGCTGAGATAACAGGTGTGAACCCCCACACCTGACCCCTCATCACTTTGTTATATACTGCTTCAGTCTATAAATCCTGGCTGGTGTGAAAAGGGCTTCGCTAGGACTTCGTTAGGGGCAGCTGACATAGGACTGAGAAGAACACACAGTCCCTCAACTTAGTAGAGGACAGTGGTTCTCAGTCCTGGCTGTATGTTCAAATCAGCTGGAGGCTGGGTGCGGTGGCTCACTCCTGTAATCCTAACACTTTAAAGAGAGGAGACTACTTGAGCTCAGGAGTTCGATACTAGCCTAGGCAATATAGCGAGACCTCATCTCTACAAAAAAATCAAAAAATTAGCGGGGCATGGTGGCACTTGTCCAAAGTCCCAGCTACTCAAGAGTCTGCGACAGAAGGATCGCCTGAGCCCAGGAGGTCAAGGTTGCAGTGAGCCACGATTGTGCTACTGCACTCCAGCCTGGGCAACAGATAGAGACCCCAACTTAAAAAAAAAATCAACTGGATAGCTTTTAAAAAACAATGCCTGCCGGGCTCGGTGGCTCAGCCTGTAATCCTGCGCCTTTGGGAGGCTGAGGTGAGTGGATTGCCTGAGCTCGCGGGTTCGAGACCCGCCTGGGCAGCAAGACCTCATCTCTACAATAAATCAAAAAATCAGCCGGGCTTGGTAGCACGTGCCTGTAGTTCCATTTACGTGAAAGGCTGAGGTGGAAGGATCACCAGAGCCCAGCACATAGAGGCTGTAGTAGCCGGAAGCAGCCACTGCACTCCAGTCTGGGTGACAGAGTGAGACTCCAACTAAAAAAAAAAAAAAACCAAACAAACAATAAAAAACAATGCCTAAGACCCGCCTGGGCAATTTAGCAAGACTCATCTCTACAATAAATCAAAAATTAGCCAGCGTGGTAGTGCACGCCTGTACTTCTAGCTACTTGGAATGCTGAGGCGGAGGGATCGCCGGAGCCCAGCAGGTCAAGGCTGCGGTGGCCGGGAGTGGCCACTGCACTCCAATCTGAGTAACAGAGTGAGACTCCAACTCAAAAAATAAAAATAAAAAACAATGCCTGGACTGCACCTCATTCCAGTTCAGTTGGAATCTCAGGGTAGGGTGGGGCATTAGTGATTTTTAAAAGCTTCCTAGGCTGGGCATGGTGGCTCATGTCTGTAATTCTAGCACTTTGAGAGTCTGAGGCGAGAAGATTGCCTGAGCCCAGGGATTTGAGACCAACCTGGGCAGTTTGGGGGGACTTCGTCTCTACAATAAATCAAAGAATTAGCTGGACATGGTAGCACTGCCTGTGGTTCCAGCTACTTGGAAGGCTGAGGTGGAAGGATTGCTTGAGCCCAGCAGATCGAGGGTGCGGTGGTCATGAGTGTGCCACTGCACTCCAGCCTGAGTGACTGAGACTCTAAAGAAAGAAAGAAAAGAAAAGCTCCCTAGGTGATTCTTTTGTATAAAGGGAGGTTGAGAACCGCTGAGCTAGTTCAGAGGGTGGGAGGGCAGGGGGCAGAGAAGGATGAGACTGAAAACCTGTCTTCCTTGATGGAGCCATGTACTAATGCTTTGTTCTGATTTATTTTTCAGTTTAAATTTGTGGGACTACAGAATTTCCCGTGTACCCCCGAGAGCCTGTGTAAGGTGCTGTCTATGGACTTCCCTTTTGAGGTAAGGAAACCATTGTCTCTGTGGCCTTGAGTGATTGTACAGTACAGGGAGACTTGGTTACACAACGGCTTAAAATAGCCCCTGTTTTGCTGTGTCAGAGCCTCAGAAAGGGACCGAAAGCTGATTCTGGTGAAAGGATGTGCTTGCTGCCTTTGAGCATGGTGGATGCATCAGAAGGAGCTAGAGGGGCCCTTAATGCACAGCCCACTCAACCCCCCAGGCCCGGAGGGGCAGGGACTTCCATCCCCAGATCCTTGCTGTGTGCCTCTTCTGGCTACAGGCATGAGATCCAGTCCCCTCATGTGGCTGCCATGCTGCTTTTGACGGGGCCGGCCACTGTGACTGACTGACTCCAACAGATGTTTGACACCCCCTCATTCTTCACCAAAGAACAAATCATCCTGGGGTGGCAGAGTGTCTGAGCAGTGGCAGGAGAGGAGGGTAACCAGCTCTTCCAGTTTGCCCAGGACTTGCCAGGTTCAGCACAGAAGGGCTCATGTCCCCAGAAGCTCCTCAGTCCTGTGCAGACTTTTGTCACACTCTGAATCCACAGTGACCCTCCCGAGGCTTGTTAGACTCTTAAAAATCCTGCCTCAGGCCAGGCACAGTGGCTCACATCTATAATCCCAATACTTTGGAGGCTAAGGTGACAGGATTCCCTGAGCTCACGGGTTTGAGACCAGCCTGGGGAATTTGGCAAGACCTCATCTCTACAGTAAATAAAAAAATTAGCTGGGTGTGGTGGCACGTGCCTGTGATTCCAGCTACTTGGAAGGCTGAGGTGGAAGGATCACCTGAGCCTAGCCAGTCAAAGCTGCGGTAGCCATGAGCAGTTTGCCACTGCACTCCAGCCTGGGTGACAGAGTGAGACTCCGAATAAAAAAAAAGTTAGCCAGACGTGGTGGCACCTGCCTACAGTTCCAGTTACTTGGAAGGATCGCCTGAACAAGCAGGTTGAGGCTACGGTGGCTGTGAGTGTGCTACTGCACTCCAGCCTGGGCAACAGAGTGAGACTATAACTCAAAAAAAAAAAAAAAATCCTGCCTTGATGCAGTGAGTGTGGAGTGTGTGCTTGAACAGGGATCATTTTGTAAAGGATTGCTGCTTCCCAAATGGCCAAGGAGGAGTTGCCTATATTTCTGGGAGTCAATTAAAAAGGTGGTAAGAGCACCATCTTTATTGATAACCCCTATGCCCCAGTGACAATAAATACTTTTTAGAGATGACTCACTCGATCATGGAAAGGGAAATGTGGGCCTGAAGGAGCCTTCCTGTCGAGAAAACCTGACTTTCCCAGAACATGGCTTGCAACCACCCCAGAGAGACTGGGGCAGCCAGGTTGCAGCTGTCCTGGTTCTCCTGCACCCGCAGCCCAGCACCTCGCAGGGGCCTGGCCAGGTCCTCTTTTTTTGTTCCATTCATGGAGCTCATCCACCACGAGTCAGACCTCTGGAATCTGGGGTCAGAAGACCTGGGTGCGATCTGAATTCCTGCTTCATGCTCACTGTGTTTTTTGTTTGTATCTTTTGGGGGATTTTTTTTGTAGAGGAGAGGTCTTGCTATGTTGCCCAGGCTGGTCTTGAACTCCTGGGCTCAAGCAGTCCTTCTGCCTCAGCCTCCCAAAGTGCTGGGATTGTAGACATGAGCCACCATGCCCAGCCTCACTGTGTTTTGTTTTTTGAGTCGGAGTCTCACTCTGTCCCCCAGACTGGAGTGCAGTGGCCACTCCCGGCC